CAAAGACACCTAAGAATCTTTGGTATGTATCAGTGAATTGATATCATTTAATAGTTTTTAGAAACAGTTCCATGTGCATTTAAAATTTATATACTGTAAAATATACTATACATTTGATTTAACTATGATATTGAAAAGAATGCTTTATATAAAGTATCTTTATTAAATTGTGTTGTAGTTTTAACTATTTATGCCCAGTTAGCTCATTTAATATAGCAATGAGCCTTAGAATCATAAGGTCTCTCACATTAGAAACTTCAGATTGCATTTATCCAAACTTTTTTTCTGTGGTAAAGACAACCTATACTAGTGAATGAAAAATCTGATGCTATTATGTAATTATTGGTAGGGATATGAGACGCTCTTTGATAAAAATACTAAGAAAATTATTTTGTATAATTTTCTTAGTGTTTTTATCACTTTATAAAACATTTATGATAATAAATCTTGATCAGCAAAACAGGTTGACCTCAGGGATTGCATCTATTTGTAACAAATTGCTTTTTCTCTTTGATAATGTCATATTTAAATATCATTATAGATAACCACGTTGTCGCATTATGGAAACCCGTTCGAAGTACACACATTTATGGAACCATTAAACTTTTATTACAACCAATTATATATTTTTGTAAACAAATTAGATTCATTTTTTTGTTTTTTGATTTAGATGAACTTCCTTGCATCGGTTGGAGGCGACGATTACAAGCAACTTACCACGGCTATTTTAAAACAACTATTGACTAAAAAAGTATGCTTGTTATATTCTTTGAATGGCAGGAAACAAATGATTTCATTTTCGTCTCTTACGTCCTGCAAGGTGGTTATAGGTAATTTTCTTTAATTATTTATCTTCATATTTAGTTGAATTAATAAATTTGATAATTTTTAATATTACATTTTGTTCATGTTTTGTTTAACATTATTAACATAAAATTTGTTTTCAGCTGCCATAAAAAAAAAGTTTGAAAACGCTAATGATAATTGCGTTTTCAAACTTTACATTGATAAATATCAATGGCGGAAGAAAGAATAGAACAGCAATTGAGCAAATTGCGGTTCTATTCTTTCTTCCGCCATTGATAGAGATGGCGGAAGAAAGAATAGAACCTCAATTGAGCAAAGCCCACTTTTGAGCGATGAAAATGAATGTCGCGAAGATAATGCCCATTATCTGATAGTGAATCAATGCCCATTATCTGATAATGAGAGTGTAATGCTGTAATATATATATATATATATATATATATATATATATATATATATATATATATATATATATATATATATATATATATATATATATATATATACATATATATAAATATAAAATGTTCTACCTGAGATAATATATTATATCAGGTAAAACATTTTAAATGTTAACATTACAATATTGGCACAATATTGAAAATAATTTCGCGCCAATATTGGGGATATAATACTGGCCAATATTGGTGTAATATTGTTTTTAATGTTTAACTTGTTCAACCTAATATGTAAAATAAATACAAAAAAAATTTATATATAAATAAATACAATGTTTTATGTAATATAATTTATATATTATATTACATAAAACATTATTTACCTACATATAATATTGGCCAGTATTATATCTCCAATATTGGCGCGATATTATTTACAATATTGTGCCAATATTGTAAACGATATCGCGCCAATATTGTAATGTCAACATTTTGCTAATATTGGCCAATATTGAATTTACAATATTGGCGCAATATTGTACTGCCAATATTGAATTTACAATATTGGCGCAATGTTGTACCGCCAATATTGGCCAATATTGGCAAAATGTTGACATTGCAATATTGGCGCGATATAGTTTACAATATTGCGCCAATATTGTAAACAATATCGCGCCAATATTGTTTGCTACTTGGGGTTCGACAAGTTTGCAGATTGATGTCTTTGTTTCTTGATTTTTTGTGTTTTTAACTTAGTTTTACACGTATTTTTTTAACAATTTAATTTTTTTGGTTTACACGTTATTGTAATTGTGGAACTTGTATGCAAACAATACGTTTTTTTTTAACGTTTGGCAAAAAGTGTAATTAAGGATTTTATCTAATAAATTAGATTCACTTAGTTGTTATTTCATTATTAAACGAGGGAAACTGCTGCTGTTTGTAGTTTAAATGAAGCAATGAGAACTTGTCGTTTTTTCGCATAAACGCAAGACTAAAAGTAAGAAGTTTTTTTTTTCTTTAGTCTATTATAATTCCTACTTGTAAAATATATTTTGCACTTCAGTTACAAAGTACTTGGTATCAAAGAATATTCTAGCGTCTTAAACATATATTAACAATGATGTTGGAGATTTTAAACATATTCAAGATTTTAAAGACTAAACTTGAAAGAGCAAGAGTCGGCTTGAGGGTTAAGCGTTTGTAGCGGTTTGTAATGAGGGATGTTAGAGAATATAGTTTGTTTTCTAAGTACTTCTTTGATGGTGAGACTTGTGTGTCTATAGATGTTTTCAATATTGATTTTTTTTAAGTAGCAATTTGTTGCGTTGTGTTTCCTCAATGACCGTTCTGTTTGCTTTACCCTATTCTGCCTTTCTCCATCGCTCACTTCTATCTTTATCTATTCTATCTTATATTCTTCCAAAAATCACTTTTCTAAGCCTTGTGTCAACGTCAGTGTGTTCCGCAAGGAAAATGCTAGCGTGTATGCTTGCCTTGGGTATAGAGGTAACTCCGAAAGGCATAGGCTGGAGGAGTATAATACCACAATTGCATGTGTTTTAAATCCCAATGTCAACTTATTGCATTTTTTAGCATCGAGTGCAATCCTGTCCGCTTTCTCTATGCTGTCTTTCTAACACGACTACTTCTGTCTTTAACTTAACGTTTTTTCGTTCTTTTGGTCCGTAGAGCGGGGTATGAAACTTCTTGGGGAGCCGAACCAGTTTTTGCGGTACCTTCGTTATGTTGCCTTTTTATGGAATCTAGCCGGAGGAGGATAAACCACAATACCAAACTTTTCAGTAGACGTGCTTGTGGATTTTTATTATTACTTTGGTGAAATTGAAGATGGCGACTGATAAGTCGGGAGGATCAACAATTTTTTAAAACTAACAATCTCAACAACAACAACTCCGTTAAAAGAATCGAAAAGATATCTAATGACGACGATGTATTGGTAGACGAGACGGCACTCTTGTTAAGAAAGATGAACCAAACGGCTAAAGGTGCAAAATATTCAGAGATACCGATAGAATACAGTGATGATGAAGGAGATATCATTGAAGTAAAAAAAAACACAACAAACATCAACAACAACAACAGAAACCTTGTACAAACTACGCCAAAGCAGCGAAAGCCAACATAATACTGCAAATTTTAAACCCCAACCACTAAAAGCAACTATTACATAAAACATTACTGAGCAGTATGCAATGTGAGATGAATGCAGAAAATGTCATCTCAGCTTTAGAGCAGAAAAATCTCGACTTTCACTTAGAAGGATTTCAATTCGTCAATAAAAACTGCGTTATGGAGATTGAAATGAAATCTGAAGATGCACGATTAATATTACTTGAAACAGGTCTTGATATTCTGGGATTCCATCACACCTTCAGCAAATCAACCCCGTACAGAAAACCAGTGGTACAACAACCTGAACGGAAACCACAAATCCATGTATTGGTCTTTGTGTTTCCAATCGAAGCAAAAAACTCACAGATCGGCAAACACTTAAAAGTAATGGTTTATGGAACACACATAACTTCTAGACCGGTTATGAGAACCACAACAAAAGGAGTCCAATATTACAGCGGCATACTTGTCGCAGTAATGGAAAACCTGAACACACCAATTCCAAGATCCCTGAACATTCTAGCCTACCCCGTAAGGACCAAGCATATGATCAAGAAGAAGAGAAAACCCACCCTAATAAATAAAACGTAAACACAACATCAGAAACGAACGATATACCTTTAAAAACGGTTGAAAAATAACATAAACATGCTAATGCTGTTAACACTGATAATATAACACTTCTAACAACAAATGAAAACCAAACAGCTACTTTCCCTACCAACGAAGCGACATGGAAGAAGAAGAAGAAGAAGAAGAAGAAGAAGAAGAAGAAGAAGAAGAAGAAGAAGAAGAAGAAGAAGAAGAAAAAGAAACACAAGAAACCAAGAAAAGCGATGCAAAAGAAATGGAAAACGACGATAACACGAAAAATCAAACAATTATGAATAAAAGGAAACAATTTTATTTTGAAACGCTAGGAAAAAAAAAAGCAACAGAAACCATATTTATTGCCATTTTCTAAAAGTAATAAAAAAGACTAGTCTCAAGAGAATAGTTTAGAACAGTAGAATTCTGAATAAGAATGAAAATTTTTTGAGCGCGTTCGTTTTGTTTTTTTGTAAGTTCAAAATTTTTATTTTAACGCTAGGAAAAAAAAAAGCAACTCAACAACTCAACAAACGAACGCGCTCAAAAAATTTTCATTCTGATTCAGAATTCTACTGTTCTAAACTATTCTCTTGAGACTAGTCTTTTTTATTACTTTTAGAAAATGGCAATAAATATTCTAACAAATAAAGTTAACAACCTCAACAATAAGGCCAAAAGAAACAACATGATGAATTTCTTTAAAAACTTAAATTACGACGTCTTCTGCATACAAGAAACTCACAGCACAGATAAAACGGCAAATGAATGGGCTATTGAGTGGAAAAATAAAACCAACGGAACTTCCATTTGGAATAACGCAACAAACCGCGAATGCGGTGTTGCTTTTCTATTTGAGAATGAGACAAAAACTGAACACATAACTCAAGATAAAAAAGGAAGAACTTTTGCTGCCACAATTATCTTGAAAAATCTTAAAAAAGAATTATAAATATTTACGCATCCAATATTCATCAACCTAAAGAAAATTTTTCTGAGGATGCTCGAATTATTAATTTTATTTCTAAGCATGCGCGAATTATTAATTTTATTTTTTTACTGGGAGATTTC